GAATTTTTTTTTAAAAAAAAATTACTATTTATTATCCAATTTTTTTTATTTTACAGAATTAGATTTGATCAGAGGTGAATAGCTTGGCTTTGAAGAGAGGTCAGGCTCAGTACCACATTCCAACCCATCGTGGACGGTGAAACGGTGCATGATTGCTTACTCAAGGCATTAAGAACATCACTTTCCAAAAATTCACCAAAAAACTAACTACGGAACTACCAACGAATTTTGGGGGTGTGAACCAATTAAAATCCCTTTTTCCATAATTTGACAACCGGGGAACTACCAATATAGTTAGATTTAAGCACTAAATCCTGAAACTCATGCTTCAAAGCAAAACAAAATATTTAGTCCGCCGCTTATATTATTACTAGACTCCACATTGCCATGTTTCCTACGGAAAAAAATGCTATAGGTTCAATTGGGCGGCTAGGGATCTCCTCCTATTGAAAAACTAGAAAAATTTATTATATTAATGGTTGGTTAAGGGTGTAAAAAAAAATGGAAAAAAGGGAAACCAAACCAGTCCACTTGTTTGCTGTCTGTCTGTTGTTTTGTTTACTAAAATGCTTGGTTAGGTTTTCTTGGAAAGGTCCTCTTAATAAACATCAGAATTTTGTATGTTCGCACGTAAAATAGCAGTAAAATATCTTGCTGAATCACTTTTAGTTTTTTTATCTTAGCTTTAACAGTTTGACGGACTGTCCACCTTAGGTTATCGGTCTCATCACTTTGTTAATTAGCACTTTTCTGGCTTTGCCCTTTTCAAAGAAATTGAATTTAATTAAGACAATTTATTCTCATGTCTATATCATTGGTACATTTAAACTACCTGTAATAATCACTCGTAACTGTATTACTTAAAATTAAAGTAGAGCAATAGAAACTTCAGTTAAAAATGTTGAAATGTATATAACCCACTCAAGTGCAATATGTTGAGCAGAGAAATGCAATCTTATTGTAGTTGATTCAGCATCTGTTGTTATTAATTAGTTATACTGTTTCATCATATGTTATAAGGAAAAAGCCATAATTGGGAAATGAAAACGTGTGAATACAAGTAAAATTAAAATTCCTAAAGATATAGGAATTCAAAACGAATCTTTAAAGAACCGGACAGAAACATAGGTTTAGAAGTGAGCAGTGGGTTGTCCGCCATTGATATCAATCAAAATAGTGCTGGCATGGGAAGTCTAGTTGTAAGAGGGTTTGCTTGATCTTCAACTCTGCGGCAGTACTACTCATATACTAATCCAACGCGAGGCTCGCTAGGCAATCTGTTATGATCATTGAATGCTGGTCAGCTGTAACTTATTGAAACGGTTTAGCACACATAAATGAACATGACGTTCTTCATACAACTACTTCGACATTTATGAAGGCAACCTAAAATAAATACTATTTGATCCAATGAGAATCAATTTTGAAGCAATGTTAATGAATATTGCTGTCCAGTCCAAGTCATTTTGGACAGAGTAATTAGAGATGATGTCAGCACTGGTTATTTAACTAGGCAGACGGCTTATGTTTAATGAAATTTCAAATCAATAAATCCTTATTAGTATGAAATAAGGAATTCAATTACCTTTGCGTGCAAAGGTAATGCTCTTTGTCCTGTGAAGATCCCAGCCATAGAGCAGGGCAGTGGGTAGATCTTTTCTGGAGACAGTTTTGTCCAAAATGTGATCTTGCATCATCCTCTTGTAACAACCGTTGCAAACTCCAGTATAACAACACTCTTTAGCAAACTAACTTTGACAACTTGCCCTTAACGACCGACCTCTCCTTCCAACCTCTATGCAAACCTTGCTTGCATTTGTTCCTAAATGTAATCTGTCATGTTTGTGTACAACATGAAAACAACAGATTAAACAAACCCCTTAAGCCAAGATATTTGTCAACTTTGCAAGTTGTCTTGATTCTGTTTTCATCTACTGGTTGAGCGACACAACAACAAAACTAGTAATTATGTGCATCATAATTTTCTAAACAGAAACCAGATAGTGTTAGTAACTTAGTTTTTCTTTTCTTTTTTTTTCCCTTTGTCTTTGATTGTGGGGGAGGAGGGAGGGGGTTGGTTGATGAAATCTCAACGTCTGATATTAAGAAAGAAGGTATCCTTTACCAATAAGGCAATAACGTGAAATTTGGTTCAATGTTATCCTAGAGAGTCAGAAAGTGAGGAGAAAGACAGACAGAGAGAGAGAGAGAGCCAAAGGGGGTGGTGGTACAGACGATAATGGTAATTAAGGGGGCCAATAATAATAATGAGTGCAAAGCTGTATCAAAAAAATAGCAGCTAAAATTGAATCACAGAAAGCGTGGACCCCTTTAACAAGCTGAAAAAAACTTTAGGGCATGATTGTTTAAAACGGCATAAGGATCACAGCAAGGCGGGGGATAGATAAGGATATGACAGAAGACTGTGATCTTTTCCAGCAAATCACATAAAGTTCTACTTTTGGGGCTGCCCTAACCTTTTGGGAATTCTTATCCATTTAGAAGATACCAGAGGTCAACATCAGGCCAATGCATATTTATGCAGGCTTTGAAAGAGAGAGTGAGAGCTAGCAAAAAAAATGAATCAATTACCATCCCTGCTCAGTGGCTCTAGTCCAATACGAGACAAAACGCAATTGAATGAAATAGTTACACACATGCTTCTTCATGTGTGGATAAGTTGTTGCAAGTTGTAATGCTCCCCATGTGTGCCATCGAAATGAGCCCAAAAGGATTCTCTTTTAGATTCAGAACTCCAGTAATGACTTTGAGTTTTAGATTAGCGGATGCTAATATCTTAACAATATAACATGCATTTTTTTTTTTTGTGGATATCCTGTGGAAGAGTGAATCATTTCTCTGTACTTCACTGCATAACAAACTAGTCTCTTTCAATTCACGATATGATTCTTTCTCTGTTCCTTCTTCTTCTGATTATTTTTTTGCTTTTCCTAGGCAGTATGGTAATGTGAATTCCACAGTTAAGTTGTTGGGCAAGTCCCCCAAATTAACCCTTTTAATTTGATCGTGGGAAATCATCCTAAAATCATTTGGCATCTAGGATTATAAAATGCATGAATATCCCTAAAGTCATAATGAAAAGATTCATAGACAAATGATATTTTTGCAAGTATCAAAGTTGCAACAATATTCATGTGGCACAAGTTTACTAAAGACCACAAAAGAAAATAGAAATGAAGCACGGATGAGGCTTTTGTACTTTCCCGATCGTTTGGATAATAGTAAAGGGTAGGGATCTCACTACCAATAGTTAGAGAAATATAACCAATGGAATGCTTTTGGTAATATAATATTAAATTTATAATTTTCACGTGCAATATTATTTTTTTATAGATCATTGTTGAAGTTTTTAGACTCCACAATTATTATTCTACCAGTACAAATTGATATGATCCATGTTTATACCAATATTAATGCTCTGCCGCCCTTTCTTCTTGGATATATATTGGATCATTTGAATCCTTATTTCTTTTACATTGATCCCCTAAAAAGGCCCAAATAAAAACATGGACTCAATGCAAATGGGCCGCCTTTCACCTTTCTTCCTTTAGAGATTGTGTTTCCTAAAAATTTAAGAGGAGTTGAGATTCTTACCATGAATATCGTTTTCCTTTTTAAAATTTGATGGACCGATAGTGGTAATCTTAGCACTAATTTTGAAATCTTAAGTAGTAATCTCGTTCTTATATCTATGAGGAATTTAAATAAGATGAACTGATAGTGGGCTCAGTGTTTCTTCCAGTTTCAGAACCAAAAGATTTGAGCCAGAGTTTTAATTTCCTTTTATATCGGTTTACGAATTATCTTTCTTTTTGTTTTTGAAACATAGGTATTATCTAGTGGTGTTTTAGATATAATTAAACTTTCAAAACTTAGTTGGACTTAATTACCTGGATAAAAGTTGTTTAGTTTTGAAATAAAAAATGATTAAATCAAAATTAAAATTTAAAAATTGAAAGTACTAGTGAATTAGCAGAGCGATTGTGGATACAAAATTTTCAATATTTTATTTACAATATAATCGTGAAGCTTGTGTGCATGAAAATTTCAGTTTATCATTAATATTAAATTTTAATGAATAAACTACGTTGATTAATATTCTACTGGTTTTAATTTGTATTATAAAAATTTCAGTTAGAAATTTAATGAATATTATCTGAAATTTAAGTTTTCCCTTAAAATTAACAAATGTTTCATATTTGAATAGAATTTGGGTAATAATTTATCTTATATGTCGTGTGTACTTGTTTGGAACTCGTTTATTTGTGGTATAAAAAATTATTATTTATTGTTGGGTTCGATTAGGTAGATTCAAACCTCTCTCTATTTAAAACATTTCCAAATCCTCCCTAACAAAATCACACTGAAAATTCAATTTAAGAATGGAAAATAGATAACTGATGACTACATTTATCTATTTTCAGGTTTGGTTTTGGAATTCTTATTTTGTCTCCCTTCAAATACAACTTTGGGATTTGGAAGGGAATATAATTTTCATAATGAACAAATACAGCGTCAGGTCAGGGAATAATTAAAGATGTCAGAGCGTTCATTACGATTTAAAACTGGTTTAACTCTGTAGTACTATAAACCGCATATATATTTTAATGGAAAACACCCCATTTTACTATCTTGTACTAGTATTAAATAGACAATCCGAAAAAGAAAAAGATAGGGGCTAAAAGTCCGGGCTCGATAGAGTAAAAAACTTAATTTCGCTATGTCATGGTTGCTGCAAAGTTGACCTCCCAATCTTAGCTAAGGCCTTTTCAATGGCATTAAAAGGGGGAAGCAATGGATGAACCAAGTCAATTTGCTTGCGGAAGTTTTACATTTTCTGCGACTCTAGTCAGTTTTCATGGAATAAATAATATAGAAAACCTCTTAGTAGCCATCGGAAGCTGGTTTTGTAGGAACTCTATAGAAATGTGTAACAATGAAACTAAAGTCTGCCAAATTATTATTTAAATGCAGTCAGACTTGTTCCCTTCCTTGAATATTGGCGAATCGAAACCTAGGCACCATTCAGAAATTTGACTTGATTGTGGGAAGGGAGGGGGAAGCCACAAAACTAGCTGATTACACAAAGGTTTTTCTATCTCGTTGTAATAATAAACATAGTTGCATAATGAAGAGGAATACCCTAACTAGTTAAATTCAGTTCTTCAGAGAATTACCATTTGCAGTTATACATGGCAGCACTAGAAAAAGGAAAAACCATAACGTTGACAATTAGAGAACCTATGTTCAGCTTTAAAACAGCCAATGTGGTACCTTTCTCTCAACCTTCTTCTCCCTTATGGTATCCAAGCTTGGTTTCCATCCCTTGCCTGAATATTGCTTGTTCAAATACTCCGGCCTACCTTCCAAACTTTCAGGTAAATCAAACTCCGTTAAGCATCTAACCTCCTCAGGCTTCTCGCAGACGTTTTCCTTCTTCTGCGACGGGAACCTTTGTCCTACTATCTCTCCAATATTTGCAGGGCAAATTTTGGCAAAAAAAGGAAGAAACTTCGAGGATGATAAAATCGATTTCGATCTCAACACGGAATTCGCACTCAAAAGCACTCGACGAGCTTCCTCGGATGACAATGTGGTTGGCTTCCCTCGCTTCACGGGTAGCATTACGTAAACTTTATTCGTGTCAAGTTTAGAGTCAGCTGGCAATGGAATCGGCCTCTTCTCATTAACCGCCGCGTGGAACTCCACAACAACCTGTTGCGGATGCTCGAGCATCAGCTCTGCCGCTGTCAAGGGCCAGTTAAACTGCTGCACCGAGCCGTCCCAGAGAATGACTTTCCCGGCGGTATCAGACGTCGGGCGGCACGTGATAGTACTAATGTAGTTACCCATATATGAAATGACCCAAAAAACGAAATAGAAGAAAAGCGATTTTCACTGTATAAAAGATAAAGGTGTAGAGATAACAGAAAGGAAAGTTAATTAAAACTCAAGGAAGGGTATGGATTTCTGATTCATGTGAATTCGGTTAAGAAAGCATTTTATGCAAGAATGTCTAGGCTTTTTAGTTGTAGGAGGTGTTTGTTAAACCGCTCCATCTTGTGAAGGATTTTATGGTGGACTTGGTAATATCAAAAAAAATTGGGGTCGTTGGTTTTTAGGATGGCTTGCCCCTTGCTTCTTTCCCTTGTATGCATACAAGATTAATCCAACGGTGATGAATGCCCTCGACATGTGGGGTCCGTCCCTGGCGTAGGTCTACTGTACCTGGCGTGAATCAAAAGTCAAAGAATGGTTCAACCGTAAGTACATTGTCTAATTTAATGCTTTAAATTATGCGTTAAGTGATGGAGAGGAGTTAAACTTAGACCTGGACCGACCGTCTGTCCAACCCTAATACTTTTTCCGTGGCTTAACCCTTCGATTTTAATTCTCACGGGTATCACCATCTTCACTTTGTATTCCCTTTTTGTCTGCGGTTTTGGAAATGAGAAATCGTGCCAGGCACGGGTGCATGGAGACTGCTCTTTTATCAGTACAATTCATGTCGTTGTACCCGGATTTACAAGGAAAAAAATGATGGGGAAATCATAGTGCCTGTATCTTAAATCTTAATTATATAGGCAATGATTTATTTGTTTAAATTAATATTGAGGGGGCTTAACGTGAAGTTGACAATTGGGTTTGGTCTCTTGATTCCTTTGTCGGATAACCAAATAGTGGATGATGATTTCTTAGTGCAAATACAAAGATGTCAACAGCAATAACGCATGCGGGAGGGAAAGCAACAGCTTAACTTCGTAAACGTTATGGCATGTACCAAATTGCGATGGAAAAATGTTATACGACAGAAGATTAAAGGCTAAGAAATTATGTGGCTTTGTATTGGGGCATAGTCTTTTTACGTATTGTTTTACTAGATCTCTGTTAGTCCGTGACGTATTCTCCAAACATCTCTTTCGAATGAGTTCATCGCGGGCACAACAGGAAGTAAACAGAGACTTATTCCATTGACAGGGAACCACTGTGGAACTCAATGCCGAGCATTTTTAGAATTTCATTGGTCCTGTCGCCTTCGCTTCCCCTATCTCCCAATAAAAATTAACTCCGTGATAAGAATGTGTTTTGCACTGGTGGTAGTTTTGAATAAATAATTCATTACCTACATATGAGTTTGGTATGCATTCTTTAAGTATTGGAACTTGGAAGGCCACGAATTTGAGTTAGGTACTTACGCTGAATCCGGATGAGCCGTTCTTAGATGAACACAGACTGGATCAGGTGGAGTCAAGGTAGGATGGAAATTCTAATTGTGGGCCTCGATGGACTTTGAATATCCGGGCCTAATCTAATTTCTTGTGAGGCTTTTGGGATGGACGGATGGGCTCGTCATTGCAACAGAAGATGAATTCGGAGAAGGCGAAGTTGAAGCGGATGCGAGAGCTTGCTCCAATCTCTGGCGCTGTGACTGCTGCTTGCAGGGCATTGATGAAACGATATCAGCAAAGTAACTTAGGCACATGTTAAGGTAAGTAAACCAGGAGCAAATTGTTTATCGAAGTTGAATTCGCCACTAGGATTTCTTGCATCTTCGGTAATATCTCGTAAATATTTATGTATGCATGTATACTGACGCTGGTGGATTCTTTCTACTTATTTAATACTACCATTACTTTGATTATCTGAATCAAAATCAAAACGAGAGTAAAATATTTAATAGCATGGTGGCTGCCTCCTTCGGAGGATCAGTTCGGAGCAAGAAAGAAAGCAAAGAATTGAACAACAGTTCTACGCTTCTAGATTTACTTTATTAGGGGAAACTGTTTGAGCAGTCGTTACTCTAATTTGAGGTCGCTACCCATGTTTATAACTAGGAAATATACACTCATTGATCTCTACTTGCATGAAAGAACGAAAGAATTGATGTTACATTTCTAGTTTTTTTTTACCACAGATCATATGTTCAAGTGTACTAGCCTTCCTACTTCTAGTTGTAGATCTCCCAATTTCAATTTGGGAAATCCCCACCCTGATGGAAGCCAATCCCAAGAAAAAGAAAAGAGAAAGACTTCTCCTCAGAGCACTTCAGAAATTGGTTCCAATACAGGAGTCCACGGCCTGTGATTCCCCAATCGGTAGCCGGGAATCCCCTTCATACACTTCTTTCCCAAAACCTTAACATCACTCTCTTCCTCCTCTCTCAACCCCTCCGTCACAGTTGGCGAAACCTTAGCACCACTTTTTCTACTTCTCTTTCCATTACAAACCGCTTCTATAATTGCCATATCCGCATCCGTAACTTTGCAATGAACTCTCCCTATAGGAACCAAAACGTAAACTTTACCAGCCAAAAGTTCATAGTCGGCTCGCATAGCAGCCACACGGCGAGTTTGTTTGAGCTCTTCCACGGAAGAGATGATGTGACCAGGTTCCTCGAGCATGAGCTCCGCTGCCTTTGCTGGGAGCTTGACTTTCCTCAAGTTCCCTCGAGAATCAATTACCTTTGCTATATTCTTACGGCCTGAATCCTGAATGAAGCAGCTAGAGGTGCAGTTTCCCATGTGGAAGTTGAAGTTGGAAGTTCTTAGTTCGCTTTAATACTTGAGTTCAAGCGGCAGAACGTGAAGAAAGCACTGTTGTGTAAAGAAGATATTTGCTTGTAATTGCTCTGGATCTCTTCAAAAAAAGAAGTAATTGCTCTGGATGTTAGGGCTTGAAAGCGGGAAGTGGAGGCTGCGGGGTTATATAGAGGGAAATGGATCAAGAGTCAAAGAATCAAAGGTAAAACATAAAGAAAAAAAAGACACGTAAAAAGGGTAGACCAATGGAAGAGAGAGAGTTGACAGAATCACAGAATGGACCAGTGATGGGCGTGTGTTAGAAGTTGGGAGTTTTGTGGGGGAAACGCGGAAACTAGTCGATCAGACGCTGGGTTTACTGAATCTGTGCCTGTGCTCGTGCTATGAGACTTTCGGTGGGGTCTTTTGCTTTGAAAGTGGGTTTGTTCTTTGGTATTGGAAGGTGGGTTCAGGTGGTCCGGGGTAGTGACTACTGGGCTTTTGGTGTTTAAGGTAATTGAAGTCTGACTTGGCATCCTACAATGTTTGAATGACCTAACTTTACGGCAAATTTCATCATTTTCTGGTAGTTCGGCCTTTTTTAAGAAAAAAAAAAACGCTGGAAACTTTACGGCAAAATAGTGCATGTGCATCATAAACAACTGCCGACCAACTTGAAGGTTGCTTATGTTAGCAGATATGCAAAGCTTGTGGTTCTGCCGTCGGACACGAATCAACGTAGTAACCACAGCAAGTTGGAAAACATATATTTTTCCTTCTGTTTTTTTTTTTTTTCCCACTTAGCAAACCGGGTTCAAAGATTGTGTTTCGCAATAAGAGCAAGCATGTAACGAAATCCATTTCACTTGCAATTCACTAGAAAATATATTGAAACTCAACTCAATATGGAGTTGAGTTAAAATATTTTAATATTCAATTTGGGGTGATTTACAAATATAATCAAGGATTATTACCTTTTTAATTTTATTTTTAACTATATGAAAATATTACAGAAATCAAATTATTATCGTAATTAGTCTTATAATCAAGGTTAACTCGGTCACGTTCAATTACGGTCTTGATCGATTTCGTAGTTGAAAATTAAAACTTGATTGAATTCTATCTGAGTAAAACCTTAATGCCGACTTCAGCCCTATGCCTATATGACAGCTATAACACAGCGTTACAAACTGCTATTCAAAATGCGTTTTTCGACTTTCCTTCCATCTTCTTTTTTTTCTTTTCTTACAATAATTTTTTCTTACTTTATTTTATTAAATGTTTTTTATTTTTCTTTTGCATAACAAATGAGTATATAATTGATTATATAAATAATACATAGCGGCAATATTGTAAATTAATAAATATATAATTATAAAGGCATACATAATTATAATTAAATAAATAACCATGAAATATATAATCAATTTGATTAGTAAACAGATAAATATATAACATATAAATAATTGATTAAATAAATATGATTGCTAATTTGTAATAATTATAATTATTTGATATAAAAATATTTCTTATTAATTTGCTCTAATTTTATTATCTTTCTGAATGTGAAATATTTTTCAAAAAAATTACAAAACATACTAATTTATATCTATAGTCTTGATAATCAATTTTTCTTCTCACCTCACTGCCCTCATGATTTTTTGCCGAACACTTAATTTATCATTGATTTCAATTTCACCGTCGCAATTCCAATTTCATCATACTGCTATCATCACTGCTTTCAATCATACTGTAATGCCACCACTATTTTTAATCTCACCATTATGCCAAATCAAACCCTTTCTGAAGTTTCGTATAACTGGCAAGAGAGATAGAATTTTAATTGATTCTTCATTTTCAGGTTTCTACTGTCGATACGAATGAAGGAACAACCCGGGAGTCTTTATTCCCTATGCCCATCTGTATGATCACATACACAGAGTGGGAGACAGGATAATATGCAAAATACTTTCTGCGACAAAACCAAATCATATAGAAGTTAATTGACAAAACTACAATACCAGAGACTTGCTGCCACAAGTAGATTTTACAGGGTAGTAACGCTAGTACCTCCTTCCACACAGATCCAAAACCAAATACATCCAATTTTAAACCCACTTGGGGGCTAGTTCAAACAGTTGATCAACACCATTTTTTTTTCCTGAAATTGGGCATGATGAGATGGCATTGGGGTTTGGGAGTCAGTAACATCTTCCTAACGCATCATCATTCTGACCATTACCCTACTTGATATACTGAGACATCCACTTGAAGCCATCACCATACCCCATTTTGCGAACAATGCTGCACATAAATACCTCTAGCGGACGGACATTTGAGTCTGCTAGATTTACCTTCCCCTTGCCAGTTGTAAAGTTTGTGAGCCCAAGGTGGTATCGTAACTCATCCTCTGAGGCAGCATAGGGTATATCAATCTTGTTCCCTAGAATAAGAAATGGGACATTGGCAAGGGCCTCATCAGAAAGCAGTGCATCCAGTTCCTTCTTTGATTCTGCAAACCTCTCTTTATCATAGGCATCCACCAGGTACACCACAGCATCCACCTGGAACCCAGAAAATACACATTCAAAGTATTTATTCAAGACCAAGAAACAATAACTTATAACAAGCAGCAATAAGAACAAACAGTTTCTCTCTTCTTTTCTTTCTTCTCCTTTTCTCTTTTTGAGTGCAAATAGCAAAATTTAACTTTAGCTGTTTAGCACATCAACAAAAGGCCGAAAGAGTATTGACTTGTAGCCTTCGTTACTCGGACTTGGGGGTGAGAGTTGGACATGAGTATGTGTCCAACACAACTGCATTCAAATTAGTCAATTTTTCCATATATTTGGAGAGTCAAACCTCCATAGACATGTCTGTCAGATAAACTCGTCTACCTCAGCCGCACAAACTGATAAAATTTACTAAACTATTTTACTGGTTGACTAATTAACAGTACATTGAACAGCAGAAAAGCAATCCAATGTGAGAGAAAGACAACATAATTGCATCCCCCGCATTGTTTGTAGGCATTGATCAGTGCTGATAGCAAACTACATACAAACACTTCTTGATACAACCTTAACATTCCAGCTGGCAATTTTTGTCCACCTTGTTCAGCACCCCAACGAACGGCTGGTTTTATTGCAAAAATAAAAGATTGCAAGGGAAAGAAAAACCACATCATATCCCACATGGGATCTATTTTTTAATGTTTATTGCATTATTTGCTTTTGAAAAATCTTCATAAAAATCAACCAACAGCAAGCCAAAAGGTCACAGAAAATCTATAGCTGCACAATTAAAATAACTGCTAAATGAACACAGATGATTCTTGGCCATCTTCCCAAAATGCGACATTAAGAATTGAAGTCTTTAGCAAAAGACAAAAAGCAACTATTCACAAGCAGACAGGATAACAAGAGTTCAAAATTTTGTTTACCGTATAAGACCCATGTTTCAACCAAGGCAACTAGAGAAATATGTCAATCCACTAAACATTTCATAAAATGATCATCATGACCAACCCACTGAAAATTTTTGACCATGAAATAATTTGAAGCACAAAAATATCAATGAGACATACAATCACACAGAAATTTCTGACATCAAAGCATGCATATGGAAATCCAAAAGGAAAATATTAACCAAAGAAGAGTCAACTTATGGCTTGAGAACACATCAGAAAGAGTTTAGGTGACATAAAGCAAGATGATAATAATAAAACCAGAAAGAAAATTGCATACTAGTAATGATGGATTGCCAAAATAAAATCCACATATGATTCATTGCAGCTTGTCTGATGTCAAGGACCAAACTCTTTAAGTCACACATCCATTGTCAAATATATCAAAACCTACTGATTAAAAAATGAATTGAAAAGGGAAAAGAAGAGTCAATCAACTTTAAAAACAGCATACCGCAGAACTCTAGCCAATTGAGATTTTAAGGCAGCAAGATATAAATTACAACAAAGCAAATTTTATTGAATGCTGAATCACTAAAACCAATAGACAAACATGACGGGAATGACAAACTATTGCTGCAATGCATACATATGCTTGATAAGAGAGGTACAATATAAAAAATATAGGAAACCAAAACAAAGGAAATGGTAGTGCAAAGAAGTGCACCACTTTAAGCTTTGCGTTACCTTAGCATAGTAATCCTTCCAGACTCTGCGAGCAATCTGATGACCTCCCAAATCAAATGCTTTGAACTTAATTTTCCCAATACTAAGCTCTTCAGAAGTAGGATATTGGGTCGGCTGATGTTGGACCAATCTCTGGAAACAATTCACTATAATCAATATCGCTAATTACATCTCTTTCAAAATTTCCAATAAAAATTAAAGAATAATGCATTAAAAGGCTTTAATCTCTTCCATTTAAAAAAAAAAAAAACAAACCCAAAATTCTCAAGTAGCTAACCAATCATACACATCTAAAAAATTAGACAAAAAAAAAACAATCGATGTTTATTTAGAGATCCAAAATTATATCTTCAATTTGGGTTTTTTTCCGGATAAAAACAGATTTCAATATTTGGAGCGAAATGGAAAAATAATTATGAGGACAAATGAAAAAAAAGGCAGGGAAAACGAACCTCGTCTTTCAACATGTGAAGCAAGGTGGTTTTACCGGCATTATCGAGGCCGAGAAACAAGATCTTAGCCTCTTTCTGCCAGAGACCGAGGGAGGCGAGAACGCCGTAGAACCAATCGAGAAGAAACATCGTTTTAGCCTTCGGCTGGTATTTCGGGTATTCCGAAAATCAAAACGGATCGAACTGGAAATTGTGACGATCTGAAAAGTGGAGGAGGGTAAGATCGTCGTAATCAAGGCCTCCGCTTCATATCATGAAAGAAAGGATCAATTTTGACCCCAAAATGAAGAAAGCGAGAGGGGAGGAGGGCGCTCGGGGTAGTATTGGGTAAAAACGACAAACAGCAGCTCGATGGATTTCACAATTATGGGGCAAAATTGAAATTTCCAAAATCTAGATCTCGGTTTGCCTGTGGGCTCCACTGCTGTTTGTATGCGGTGACGTCGTTTCCCTCAGTTTGAACCATAAAAATTCTTTAAGATTCTGGACTCCAATGCCACCAGACACTCGTACACACGGCTTTTTCCTGTTTCTTCGTCGGCCCAATATTATTATTTTGGAAATTCCTTTTTTCTTTTGTAACGTGTTATTTTGTGTGAAAAATAATTCGTTTATAAAATTTAATGAAATGAAAGTACATATATGATTCTAAAATTTAATTGTACGTTTGAGTAATAGTAAAATATATAATATAGAATCTTATACGTATTCTCTCATATGCTGTCTTTTGTCTCATCTTAGTTTTCAGAATATGAGGTGCTCAACCAGGGTAATAGACGCATTAATAGATTTGCTCAAGCCAAGCTTAAATAAAAATATCCAGTTTCTACTTATATTTTTAGAGTTTAGCCTGATTAACCTAAAAAGCATGCTTAACTCTGGCTTTTAATTGATTCGAAGTTTTGTGGTCACGTTGAAGCTTACTTTGTTTACCTGAATTATAGATAAAATTAATATTGATGTTGAAATCAAATGATCTATGGAGTCAAATTAGGCTTGTCTCCAAGAGATACTCAAACTTGCAGTTAAATATTGAATTCAATAACCTTATATACAACACATGGCATTATTAGAAGTCTTATGTTAATTTTATTAATTAAATATTAACAACAGTTACACTCATTTATTTGTCAATCAATAGGGAGGTATCACATAATTAGAATAAGTATGTAACAACTATATTATATAAGATAGTGACAATAACTCATAATGAGTGATAGAATTCATGAGTCATTCTCAAGTTTGTAATGTTTTAAAGAATTTGACTAGATGACTTAAATATAAACATAATTAAAATGACTTCCTCTTAACATTTTTTGAAATACATGTACTTCATATTTTTTTTATTCTTTAAAAGTATATGTGGTACATTATTAAATATTACTATTCTATTACAAAAAACTTACACGCTCTATCTAATTATGTGCTTTTTTTATAACTATTCTTTTCATAGTCAACATGCTCTTCCCAAAACGTCCAATAAACTTCATTTTTTGATAATAAATGTACCTCTTCCATGAGCTGTTATTTTTTATAATAAATGTGCTTTTCTCGTAATAAGCATGTTCTTCCACATAGAATATGTTCTCTTAAAAGTATTCTTTCTACCAACTACTCATAAGAAAACATTCTTATTTAATATAAACATGAAAGTTTAACAATTTAAGAGATAAGAGAAATTCATTAGAAATTACTCTTAACACCTCAAAACTTTTCCAAATATGCTCTCTACTCAACTTTTTCATTCATCGAGCTTCGTCACCTTTTCCATCTATTCATTGATTTCTTATTCCTCATCTCCTGCACTCATGCTTCAAAGACTATTCCGATCTTCTTCCTTACCACCCTTGTTCATCCCCTTTTACTTGTTGTAACACATCTTCTCTGTTTACCAAAAGAACCCATTACACACACACAAAAAGAAAAAACACACCAAGTGATTGGAAAATAAAGCATTCAAATGTTCTATATTGGACTAATATTTTTATATCATGTGCAGTATATGTTATTATTATTATTTATTCTTAAATAATAATTATATATGAAATATAAAGTTACTTTATATATGTTAATTTTTATTAATTTTTAAAAATAAGTATATAGTGAACATTAAATTGTATATTATACAAACAACTGAAACTAATAAAGTGCATATTAATCGAAATTTGCATTAACATGTAAGTTTATCCCATGTGCAAAATATACCAAATTAAAGTTTATTCCTTTAACATTAATTAATGTAAAGTTAAAACTCTAAAAGTAAAACAATTCAATCTAAATTTAAATTTTCCAATTGAATTAGAAACCTTACTTATAATTTGGGTAAATTTTATTAATATTTATAATAAAAATTTAGAAATATAATAAATAAAAATATCCATTTTCTTTAAATGAAAAGTTTTACAAACATTGGCACTTTTATATATATTTCCACTTTTATTTTTTAAAATAATAATTATATATAAGTACAAATAGTTTTAAAGTATAAACTTTGAAATTTTATGATACTAATTTATAAATTTTTCAATTCTATTTAGAAAAACATTTTTAATAAAAATCATTCAATGTAATTATTTTTTGACAAATTGAATAAATTTTATTATTATTTATAATTGAAAATAATTAATATGACAATTTAAAAATATAATGAACAAATATGTTCATTTTTGTCACTTAAAAGTTTCCAACATTATAAGAAATTAAAACAAATGAGCACAGTATTTGTTTAGAAAGAAATACAACCTTAAAAATGGAAAACAAATAAAACATACAAACACAATAACACACAAAATTAAAATTATTGATGAGACCTAAGTATATTTTTTTTATTTTGAAAAGTAGAGGAATTTGAACCATATTTACTTATAAATAAGTAAACATCTTGTTCAAAGAACTAAATTCAACTCCTAATTGATAAAACTTTAAATTTTGGGTACTCAACGCAATTAAAATAAAAAGCAGGCACCCGGTTGTTATTTTCCATCGACCTGCATACTCATATGTGCTCCCAATGACTTCTACGCTACAAAAACCTAACTCCGTAACAGCGCCGAGAAATCTCCCTCGCTTTAAGGTACGGCCTTGCTTTGCTCAGCTGCCTTACCTTGTACCTTCCATCTTTATTATCTCATTTTGCTCTTTGCCAAGATGATTTGCAGATTCAGTAGAAAAATAGTAGTATTACTGATAAGATTTTTCTGGTTAAATGATCAGTGTTAGAGTTGCTGAGAGATGGCGAAATCGAAGAATCACACAGCCCATAACCAGTCTTACAAGGCCCACAAGAATGGGATCAAGAAACCCAAAAGGCACAGGCACACATCCACCAAAGGAGTTCGTTCTTTTTTCCGAAATCTTTTTTTGCTGTTTTCAAATTTATTTTTTTGTTTTTTCTTTTAACATTTCCTTTTATTGTGATTGTTCAGATGGATCCTAAGTTCCTCCGGAACCAGAGGTATGCCAGGAAGCATAACAAGAAGAACGGCGGATCTGCTACTGAGGAAGAGTAGACATTTTGACGACTTTTCGCGGTTCTTTTAAGCATATGATTTTGATTTTTCTGTTGTAAGACATTGCCAGTTTTGGTACTAGTCTGACTTTATCTATCAATTAGGTGATGATTCTAAATCTCTCACAACTGATGTCTTGATTCTTCTCACAATTATTAAGAATTCGTCGTCCGAAGCTTTGATCGAAAATTTTGTGGTTTTTGCCCACTGCTTGATTCATGCCCCATTTTATTTTCGTTAAATTATACTGTGTTTTTCAATGCTCAATGGTTCTCCATATCACTAGGATTCTTAAGGGGATGGTGCCCTATGAAGTTTCTATCATTCTGAGTAGTTTATTTTAGAACACAAATTGTCTGATTATTGTTGTAAGTTTTCATCGTAATGAAGATTCTTATAAGCTGTAGGAATGTCATTCCATTGCAATACTGTTCTCTTTACGGATTTAATAATTTCTTTTCGAAGGGTACTGGTTTCTTAGGATTGTTATATTGATACTAAGTAATGAGCACTTTAGACTACTATTACGCAAGTTGTTGCTCACTCCACACGAGGTGGATTTGATAAGGTCAGTGAATTATCAATGACATTATGCCATAATACAATAGTAAATTGATGAGTGGATGACCAGCATAAGCTTGGGTGCAGACACAAATGTATTTCTGTATTCCATGTAAAGTTGATATGAGATTTTTGTAGTTGTAAAATGGTCGTTTATATTGCTAGGCAGGAGCCCAACCTGTAACTTTTAGCATTAGGAAACTAGTCTTACTGAATTTTTTGAGTTGTTGCTAGGACCAGTTGCTCAGTGTCTGTGTGTTTTCCCGTTGTTGGCTGAGAAACAACAGTGACACTCTTGGCCTGATTCAACACTCATAGGCCTTCTGCCCACTCAAGCTGGGTAAAGAACTAGTAAATTTAAGAGCACTTTATTCCATCTTCTTGTTCTCTCTCCACTTCTCCTTCAGCTAGAGAATGGGCAAAATGTAAGCAGTGGTGCATGCCAACAAACCTGATGTGGTACCCACCAGGTTTGCATGTCATTATTCTCTTGGTTCATCACTGAACCAACTTAATGGGATGTGGATTTGTCATTTTCATTCAACTTTATGTGCTGGAAGATTTGTATAGTAGATAGTTGGAAGTCATTATCACATCATCAAATCCTCAGAGCTTTTGAGTGTATGATAGAAGCTCACCTGATGTGTTTTGCTTGCTGTAACTCAAACCATGTGGCATGTATAAAGGATACATAAATCTTATGAACTTAGTTTCGTCTGATGTCAATTGATTGAGTGGTGTGACATCTAATGGTTGCATAAAGTGATGGTAGTTTACTTTGATTTCTTATCTGATCAAGTGCCACTCAATTATGTCACTGCCATCAAGTTATTCCGAGGTTAATTGTACCCTGACTGTGTTCACGCAATTCATTAGGTGATAAGTTTAGGTCGTGGGCCAAAGGAGTTTTGAATACTGTGATATCAGTGAGTTGTTGCATTTGGTTTATTTCGAGCAATCGGGAAATTGCGCGGCTGCAAAAAGCCATTAAAAGGTCCATCTCGTGGAAACTTCCCATAACCGAGTTGCTGGAGTCCTTTCCATGGGCCGTGTCAAGGAACCCAAACCCTCTAAATTTTTAGCCTAGGTGGATTAGCGAAATGGTGATGTTTTGGCTAATATGTTACCATCTTGGAGACGAGACCGATGAACATCATCTCTTCCTTCGATCAGTACACGGTTCGGATAAGAAACCACAGTCCTCATTATCTATTTTCTGCTAGTGTTAGTGGACGATCCATTATGTGGAAATTAGTGCTAAAATACACTTGGAACTAGAAGTGGAACATGAGAATTGAGAAGTAAGATGTAGTGCCTAGGTATTTAATTAAACTTAACTCGTGTACAAGCTTGTGGAAACCATCTGACAATATTCAACGAAGAAAACAGAGAAGAAACTTTATATCTTCTCTGGATGCTTCACGATCACCACTGGACATTTAACATGCTTAACACAATGAACGCTCACACTTCCCAGAAGCGTCCTGTAGAATTGAAAAGGGGAAATCATCTTTATTTTATCTTGCCTGGAAAAAAATTGGTATAGAAGTTGAAAGGTGTGGGAGGAGGCAAATTATTTAGGCTGTTATACCTCTTGAGGAAACCATAACCGTGGCTTCCCATCACCAGTGTATCGGCTTTGATCTTTTCCACGGTATGACATATTACATCCTTTGCATCTCCTCTTCCAACAATTCTCTCCACATTTATCTGCACGTAGTTAATCAATAACAACTGTAAGAGATGATAAACCGAACCGAATTGAATCGTAGAGGGTAAATAAAGCAACATAAACTTCAAAACAAGAGGCCTACATTGCTGCTGAATTTTGAATAGATAGTTTCGGCTCTTTCCATCACTGAATTGACCAGATCACTGCCATATTTTTCCAAGGCTGTGATCACATCGCGGGAAAACATATACCCTGTAACAAGGAGGCCAGACTGGTCAGTAGGTATACAAAAACCTGGAATAAGCAGAGAGAACAATAGTTGTTGAACAAATTTTCCTTTTTGTTAATATAGGGATAAACATTGAAAACTTGTTTAGCTAAGAGAGCAAGAATTGATTTGACAATTCGGGGAAGAAGTAACTCTTACGGGCAAATTTGCCAGTTACAAGAAAAATCTTTTATCCTTTTTGAGGTAAGGAGAAAAGGGAATTGCAAGCAGATACATAGGAATTGGAAAATGGAGAAGAGCATTAATACTTGTTTTTCATAAGAGTAATAACAACACACTGAAAGCTGCAACTTTATCGTAATAAGAAACTTGTTACAGTTTCCAGGGAAGAAGGAAAAAACACAAGCAACGGTGGCAACCTGCAGCGTCGAAGGAAGAGTAGAGAGGAGGTGGAGGTTTCACGTAAAGAAGCACAAGCGTGTTGGTTGTGTTTTGAGAAAACAAATTTCCAGACACCATGAAAGTGCATACATGCTCTCCTCACTCTCATCCACGGCGACCACGATTTTGCATTCTTTCTTCTTGAGGTTCACTGCTTCCATTGCTACAACTCTGGATTTTTGTGCTCTTTTCTTTTTGGCTTGAACACTTTGATATAAGAAGCTCCGATGAATTATTGGCCTTAAGATGTTGATAAGAAAGCAAATGAAAGCTCAAATATCTATGGGTGGCATCTGGTTGTGGTTTTTGAAGTGAAAGGGGCTGCATCCTGGAAAAACCAGTTTAACCCAGAATAAATTATTAAGAAAATCTCACTGTTTGGCAAATGGCCAATCACAATGATATAATAAGTAATTAATTAAAGTAAACAACCAGTCAAAATTGATTTTAGAATGCAAGGTGAGGCGACTAGTGAGCTATAAGGTCAGGCTTTTGCCTTGTTTGTTGGATATGGAAAATCCCATCCTGTAGGACCCATTGATTCCTTCTCACTGAATATCCATGGTCAACATCTTGCTGAAGCTAAAGCCTCGGAGGAGCAAATATCAGACCAGAAAAGTTGAGCTTCACCACGTCATTCGTATTAAAATCATTCGCAACACGACGCCACGGTTGTGCATAGAGATAGAAATGGTGTGGATATTTTCCTTGCCCAAAAATGAAATGGATAATTCAATTGTTTTCACCGATGTGATTTCTTATGTGCCACTACTTACGTATGATTGTAATTTCTTTTGAACTTGACATATGCAGTAGTCATATTGGATAAAAGTTATGTATATATGCACCAACTATTTAAATAAGATTCATTGATTCTTTAGAGTCTAGCGAGGTTGAAAAAATATGCGGTATTGAGTGAGTCCAGAATCTACCGGCTACTTCCAACAGCCAGAATTTGTACGCTCAACTGTTTATATTGTTTTCTACTTTCTGGTATGACCTCACCAATGATCTACAACTACAAAGAAGCTTTAGATTCGACTTCAGTTGAAGCACTATTCCTATAAGGCCCCGCAGATACTAAAATGGCAATTGTCGTGATCGGGTGGAAGAAAGACGAGACCGTTTAATAGTCCAAATCAGTTGTTTATTTTTCGTGCAAGTTGAGAAAAGGTTCTGTTGTGTTTTGTCTGCAAAAAGCCTTGGAAAAAGCATCTCATGTTCTTTCCACTGACCAGTTGTTTTCGTTGGAGCAACACTGCTGTAGATCTAATCGTCTTAATGGTTGGACAATCTAAAGAGAAGGGTTAGATAATGGTTTTGTTTTGTTTTAGGAGAGGAGCATCTGCAATGCTAGCGCCCTGCAGCTTTCTGTATCTAATTTTTTCTTCTTTTAGACGACGTTTGGATTGCTATGAAGACGGCTGCAAGTCCAATTATTACAGGCTCGTACGACCACTTCGTAAGCCAAGTGTACACGTGGCATCCAAGGGAGGCCTAACCTGACACCTGTCCTTGCAAAGTTACAATTTACAGTGAGAGGACGTAAATCTCTTGTAGATTGAAAAGTATAATTAATGAAAATTAAATAAATTAATTAAAATTAATTCATAAAAAATAAATTTTATAATTTATTTATAATAATTAATAAATGTTAATAAATATTACATTAATTATAAAAAAATTATAAATAAAAAATAACATATAAAATTTATTATTTATAATCAAATTCAAATAATAAATATTCTAAAATTATTATTTAAACTTTATTTTAACTGTGAAAGACAGTAATATTATTATCCAAACTTTATACGAACTTGATTATAAGATGTTAATAATCCAATTAATTGAATCTGAGTAGCGCAGTATAACAGATATTCCCAATCATATATTTGCTCCTTCATTATTTAAAGCATAATCAATAAAAAAAACTCTCCCGTGTCTCACTTCTTCTGGCAGGTCTTTGCTCGGCCCAAGAAGGACACCAACCCAGTCCAGCTGACAGTCCCGTCTTGATCTCAACATGGTCTTGGGTTGTAAATCCATGTGCGATCTCTTTGATTTTTTGGATATAATAAGAAAATGCGTATAAAATTTTATTTTGATTAGAGACTAATAAAGTTTTTATCCTTTGCTTACTTGTAAGGCAAAATCCAACCCTTTGAAAGGTAGGACATTTGCAGCCTCCTTTGGTGCATTTTCTAATTTGTTTGTTTTTATTGTCATTTCCTGATAAATTCAACAAGGGGGGTGTGGCTTCTTTTCTTCTCTAATTTCTCTCTTGCCAGCTCGAGACTTCACGTAACAAAAGAACTCTGGTGCTGGTAGTTTAATCGCAACTAAGAATTCATTCATATAGATTTAAAACAAAGTTTAATGGAGCCACGTCTAGAATATTACCCTGGTCTTCGGGCTGGATTCCCTCCCTCAATCCCTCCGATAAGCAGCAGTTGTGTTTCTGTCTCCCTGCTATTGTGCGAGATGTAATTGAAACTTGGAAGGCCGATCAAGAGCTCATGCACACATTTAAATTCGATGAACAGAACCAATGAAGCAAAGGATAGAGAACATGATGGGGAGATCAAGTCGTCTCTTGTCTAACTTGCCTTAAAAGAAAATTACAAAGTCTTTCACAACTCAATATTTTGACAATTGAAAACAATGTTCTGTTTAGCGATGTACAAAGATGTAAGGAATGTATTTAAGACCATTAAAATTAAACTTTTTGTAGCATAACTGCAAGCCTATGAGCCTCCCTTCTAGATATTACTGTTGGCCAACGGTAGACCTTTTCTTTTTTCTCTTATTTGACAAATGAGAAATTCTATTTTTACTTTTTAACTATAAAGACCAATTGAGTCAAATGTTTGATTAAACAGTGGTAAACTTGATGAAGCATAATGACATGTGAACCACATGTCTTTGACTTTGTATTGGTAATGAAGTATCTATATGTGGATATGATTACAGGTTTAAATGTTTTTGGATTACCCTTTCGAATTCTGTCCATGCAATTTGCAGAGTACAGTAATGATTTTGATATTGGTTTAGTGAAATATTAGACAAGGAGTAGGCGAGTTGGCCACCGAGTGGTCACCAATACTATATGTGGGGCCACGGCCCAGCCCAGTTTCAATCAAAGGTAGATACTGGGCGAGCATTTTTCATACGACCAAACCGAATAGCAAACTTTATAGACCCAGGTCTCGTCCACCTTATCTAAAATAGTAGCGTAGTTTGACTAATCTGCCATATATTACCCCCAACTTTTAAGCTAAGAATTCAACAACCTCCCACCGCTTATCAAGTTCCATTAATATTTCTAACTAAAACTCTATATACTATAGCCTTCACCACCTTTCTAGCGAAATCACAGAATTGTATTCAAATTCACTTCATAATAATTAGATCAAATTAATCATTCATTTCCTTTTTGTTAATAAATAGAGTTAATTAATCATTGGAAATTCGGATAGCCTTTTTATTAAATTATTAAATACATAAAAATTAGCTGACCTCAAGTATCCTGTTTCGGTTCACCAGAAACAGAAGCATTGGCGCTGGGCCTGCCGATAGCGGCTGTGCCCAAATGATTAGTCTAATTTAGAAAAATGGTTTTATTTTCTTAATGGAAACACGAGTTAGCTTTTAATTATATTAACTCAGCAAGATCTCGTATACACGCAAGTCTATAAATTCCTATCCAGGACGAGGACGTGGACTTCATTAGCCTAATCAGAAATAGCGGACGGCCAAGATGAGTCCTGTGAAGTGGGCCAATGGTGTCCCCACCAAAGCTCAGGGTTAGTGCCCACCACTTAGCTTGATCCCCCCCCCCCCCCCCCCCCCCCCCCGTCCCCGGTTCCTCCCTGAAAGCCGAAAACTTCAGTTTCAGTGCCTTCGTCGCTGCCGTTTGCCAGCCTTAAAAATGGTAAGCCGCCAAATAATTAGACAAAAATCCAATTCCAAATTGCCTTTCAAAGAGAGAGAAAAACAAATTGAAGAAAGACGATAAGATTGATTGAAGGATAAGCACAAATGTCAGCATCTTATTTATTTATTTATTTAACAAATGTCAGCATCTTTAAATATATATAAAAATAATAAGAAAATTAGTAATTATTTTTTTGGGGGTAAATATCTGAAAATTTGAAATTTTAGATTGGAAAAAAGATGAAGAAAGAACATTATCGAGCGTCAAAAAGGAGGGCCCCATGGAAGAAGCACAGCTATTCTTTGCTCATGCTTTTTTCGGTGAGCGCGTTTGTTATTTTCTTTCCACTTGAAAGTCATTTAGTATTTTTTCAAAGTGGGGCCTACCTTTTTTAAATTTCTGGTGGCCAGAGCGGTCCGATGTCGTCGATCATAGATCACACGTCCCAAATTCAAACCTAAAAGGAAAAAAATTTGAATTTGGACATGGGGACACGAAGACGTATCGTGATTTAATAATGATTAACTCAATAATTCTGTCACTCGTCCCCGTAGGAAAACTAGATTCCCAAATTTGCCCTTTCTTTTTTTAATTCGTGATGATTACAAATATTTTAATTGGGAAATGAAATTGATCACTTTCGTATCTTTAAAACGGCACCATACGAGGTGCAAAGGTCATGAAAAATGCCCCCCACTTTGATAACAACAATGACATTGTGGAGAATGAGATGTCAAAATAAATTTCAAACAACCACTTAGACTCTTTTCAACCTGTTAATTAAATCAAAACCATATTATATGCATGCTAATATGGAATAGTTGTAATATTGATTTTTTTTTTCAATATTATATTCTTCTCACCTTGCAAAACCACAAATATTGAACAATAAATTACTCTCAAAATTCTCATAGCAAAATATATTTATCTAATTTTAATTGTTTTCCGCTCTTTTTATATTTTTATAAAAAATAAAAAAATTAATCAAACGGAACCTTAATTTTTAAATCCAAATATCCACTTGAATATTATTTTTCTACATTTTACTTATGACATTCAATTGGTATTATATTAAATTAAAAATATTGAAGGCATAAACCTATTTGTTCCACGGTGAACAAGCAAGGAATCCTTGTTCAGATGCCAATGAACTATTATAAGAAGACGAAAATGTGGGGTTTCTTAATGGAAAAGGTGACTTGTTTGTTTTTTTTCAAAGTTACCAAAGAACAGCAAATCAGATTTCTTTTTCTATTATTTATAAATTATTTTCTTACCAGTTTAGCATATACCTTATCTTCACCATCCAAAAGACCCCAACAACCTTTCCATTTTAAGGATGAAAATCGAAATGTACTATTACTTCATCACAAATTACATTGTCTTGTATAAGTGTAAATCCAAGTACAAATAATTACCAAAGAAAATATGCTTACTATTTTCCTGCATTTAACTTCTGTTTGACCTTTGAATGTTTAAAATGTGAATTAAACTATTTTGTTTGAATGAAAGCAAGTCAAAGCCTTTCCAGTTACAGCTTTCACAACCGGCTAAAAACCGCGTCACAGTTTACTCAAGTCCTTCTCCTTCAAAAAACAAAAAAAAGCCAAAAAAAAAAATAAAATAAGCGGAAATAAAATAGCCAAGCAAAAATATTTAATAATTTTTCTGTTAAGATAAACAGGGGGGTATTTCTGGAACTTCATGCTGTGTTTCTCATATTTAAAGGCCAGTCTATGGAGGAGAGGAGAGACATTGAAAGGGAAAACAGAGGAGAGCATATTTTGAAACACACATAAGAAAAAGGTAAGTTTTCAAAAACAAAAGGGAAAGCTGAGAGGAAATGGGGGATGTTGTTGTGTTTGTTGATGATTTATCATCGAATTATTCAATTTCACACTGTAGAATTTGCCATGAAGAAGAATTTGAAAGCTTTAAGAACTTGGAAGCTCCTTGCGCTTGTTCTGGCACTGTCAAGGTAAGACTTTTTTTTTTTTTCCTTTTCGTTGGTGTTTTCTCATGCTTATTTCCAGATTCTGATTATTGGGTTTTCCTCTGTTTTGATGATTAATTCCTTTTTTGTTTTTGCTGTTTTCAGTTTGCACATAGAGATTGTATACAGAGGTGGTGTAACGAGAAGGGAAACACAACCTGTGAAATTTGTCTTCAGGTTCGACTTCTAATGATCAGAGCAAATTAAAGAAGATGTATTCATTTTCGAAAGCTTTAGTTGCCAAAACGAAATTTGACGCTTTTGTCTTTGATGTCAAACTGGGTTAGCTGTTCACCAGGATGTTTTGTTTTCTCAAACTCTGTTTTCATCCTTCTTTTCCTTTTTCTTTGTTCTGTTTTTTGAGTTCTGGGGCGTCCAAAACTTGTCCTGTTTGTTCAACTTTTCCTTTTGGCTAAGTCACCCTTCGCTTCTTCCATGTGATCCAGCGGATTGTAAATCGTTGTATTGGATTCTTCATTATTAAACAAACTAAACTAAAATCTTAATGATTTCCAATTATGACACTATGACTTCATTTAAATATCAAATATCAATACCCTCAGATTCCTATGATTGTTTTATTTGAAAAAAAAAAATTGTTCCCAGAGATTCATTTAATCTTAACTTAATTATACATTATAATTAGCAGGTAATAAATGAAAATTTTACCGAATAATCTCTTCTTACATGCAGGACTATGGACCAGGATATACTGTAACAGTAACAGCACCTTCAAAGAAGTCTCAGCTGATTGAAGCTGCAGTAACCATCAGGTAATTTTAATTTATTGGTAAAGCCGCGTGGCTTGCCAGCTGGTGCTGTAATAAAAAAAACATTGCTTCACTTTAACAGAAATGAAATCATCTTTATATAAAAAGTGTTGTAATTTAATCTAAAAGGCCAGACATGCTTGTCCGCTAATTAGTGTTCTACAAACGTGCCTAGTTGCTAATACTATAACCTGCAATTCCTTAAGCTGCCTCTTTTATATTTATTTAGTATTAAAAATTAAAAAGAAGAATTGTTTGTGTCACAGAGATAGCCTACAAATTCCGAGAAGAGAGCTTGAGCCACAACACCAAAGGTTGGTGGCCTTAGCTGAAGGAATGAACGTCGAGAATGACTTCCCTCAATGTACTTCTGCTGCTGACAGAGGCGCCTCTTGCTGCCGATCACTGGCCCTCACTGTACGTTTTCATTCCCAATTAGAACCTTCAACCTTTAGGTGAAAATCACTCCAAGAGATTATCATTTAAACAAACGGTTGTGTGTGTGTGTTAAGTATTTTTCAAGGGTACAAAAGTGGGAGAACGTTAAGAAAGAATGAGGTTAACTATTTTCTTTTAAAGTGGCAACCACGCAGGTGGTTGAAAAGGGTATGCCCAATATGTAATATTAAAATCAGTACAAGTGACTAGTGTGTGATTCAAACTACACCTATAATTTAGTTATTTCGACGGCTATGATGGGTTGCACCATGGCCAAAAAAAGTGGGCCAACCATTCCTACAACTGAAATTTGAAAGGGAAACAAACTATCGAAAACCATCTACCCACCGGTAACGGATAGCTGAAATTTTTTAGTTTCACTTTTATTCCCTCCCCAGTCCCCACCCCCTCCCTCTTTGAGAGCAACTGATGATCCTGTTGCTATTGGTTTTAGTTTAAAGTTACTGAATTTGATAATGGTTAATAACTTGGCAGTTTACTGTGGTCTTGCTCGTCAAACATCTCTTTGCAGTGCTCAATGGCGAAACTGATCATTACCCATTTGCACTCCTTACCGTAAGTATACAGTTTATATGTATATATTACCTAAAGCTACTATCACCGTCATAGGAATAATTTTGGCCTTTTCTAATATTATCTTTTGGCATATTTTACAGATACTTTTTTTAAGAGCTACTGGAATTTTACTCCCAATGTATATATTGGTTCGGACAATTACGGCTATTCAAAACAGCCTTAGGCGACATTATCATGTCAGTTTCCTATCTCACAAATTGAAATGAAGGTTTTACAATCTTGATTTTCCAGATAATACCGGCTGCATCTGATTCGATTCATATGCCTCTTGTAACAGGATTCTGACGAGGAGCCCTCCAACTCTGACGATGAAGACGATTGTTTGAGCAGCACAGTCGCACACCACAACTGACTCTCTTACTGTATTACCTCTAATTACTTCCATTTGTATCTGAGCATTACACTGATGCTCATCTTGTCCCAATTTTTTGCATGAATTGAAAAATCATAAATATTGCTTCTGACTACAGATTGATGAGGCAGCTTACTTTTTAAAAATGGAGGATTATTAACAGATTTTACTTTCTACCAATCCACCAGCCCATTTCCTATTATAATAAAGAGATTTGAAGAAAGGCCTGGAACCTCTATCTTAGTACCATGAATGGCCTAACTTGGTAACTTATCACAAGGTTTCTGATCAATTTGTATTTACTTTCAAAACAAGTCATTTGTTCGGCGAATTTTTACATATAATGGTGTGCGGTGGCCAACAACCTTTCCCTTTCTTGGTTGAAACTGCTTCATTGACATTGCATTGCAACCATAATGCATATGGTTAAATTAGTCTCAAGTAACAAACACGTCAATCAATTCTCTCAAAAATGTTTACTGTATGTACATACGGGGCTGGTCAACCCATTCTACCCTTTCCAGCTACGTAGGGGTTGCTCAACCCAACTAATATTATTTCTCCTTCCCAGATAAACTTTACCAAAATGTTGGAGAATAGTAGTGTTCACATTAATTGCTCAAACAGGATGTGGATTAGATGCTAGTTCACATCACTAAAAATGGGGAAATAATGACCCAGCAAAACTAGGAATACTCCAGCAGCCCCGAAGAAATACTCTATAGTCTATTAACGTCAATGACTGGTAAATTACTTCCGCAGACGTGAAATACATCCAGAAGATTCCATTAATGTTGCTGCAGAAGTATCCTTGCCCTATGTTGAAGTTCGGTAAAGGAGTTGATACAACTACCCTCGTAAGTGTCTAAGCAATTTGCATTTGCTGTAAGGCTGATCAATTCTCGAATAAAAGCTACCATCTTATCTGCACAACTTTGCATTGGCAAGTCATCTTCAGATCCCTTTCTGTGTTTCCCATACACAGACTCAAATTCTCTAGACTTAGCAGCAGCTGTCAGTAGTACTGAGTCAGGAAGCCCTGAAATAGTTACTAGTCAGAGCTGCAATTTATCATAACAAATGCTCAATTGTTGCAATTAATCAAGTAATGGTTTGAAAAATTCATTCAGCGGATTCGCTACAAACAAAGACCTTATTTGAACCAGATTTATTCAATAGGCTCACACCTCTATGTCCTTGAGAACAAAAGATTCTTAATAAACAGAAGTTCTCCAATTTTTTGAGAATATGAACTCCATTCATGAAAATTTCAGCAAAAAACTAAATCTTTTTCTAGTACATGGGATCTGTCACATGAATTCTATAATGCCATCTTACTCTAATTAATACCACATCCTTGGTAGGATGAGTAAATGCAAGGTTCTTTATTATAGTTTCAACCCTCTAGTTCTCCAAGCGAGTCTCCATTTTATATTTCATTGTATCAAAGTTATAAGCAACCTTTGAAGCTAATGAGGCCCCATCACCAAAAGTCCAAATTTAGGTCCACAAAAAAGGGGAACTAATATTACAAGTGAAGACCCTTACCAGCTAGTCGTGCAACATTCACCCCATAGCTTTTTGGACAGGCTCCAGTGGTCAACCTGTAAAGAAATGTAACTTCTTGCACACCGGCAATTCCATTTCCAACTTGGCATGCCATATGGCAGAGAGAGACCTGTATAAAAAATGGGGAAAAAAAATAAAGAACATAATAGGAGAGAGTTGAAAAGCCATGAAAATAACTGTCATTGACTATACAACCACAAATTTTCACTCAAAATAAATGACACATATGACTTCAAAAAGATTTTACCAAACTTGTTTATAATTTGTTATTCACTCTATTTGCACCTAATATAACTCCTCGAGTACAAACACAATTACCTTCAGTTTCCAAAAAATGTTATCCAACAGAAGAAGCAGAGACATACCTTGGAATTCTTTTCATAGTCCACAGCCAAACGGTGATAGTGCGTTGAAAACATTCCTCGACACTGCACCTTGTGTACAAAATGTTCAAGAACTGATTCTCTACACAGAAATTGAAACATGAGGAACTAAGACTAAGTCAAAAGTATCACATAAACATTTAAAGACCATGCTAAATAAAAAAGCAACATACGCAATGGCTTGTCCATCAGAAGTTGATGTTCCACGTCCAAGTTCATCCAATGCCACAAGTGAATGTTGAGTTGCTGAAGACTGCATTAACCATCATGGATATGTTCACAGAAAGTAAATGGTAAAATCGACAATTTCTACATCTACCAAGGAAAATGAATAATTTGGACAATGCTTAAATACACTGGAAACCTGATAAATAAATAAAACACTGATTTCCTCTCATGTAGATTGAGAAATGGCAATGCTTCTATAAATGAAAACGTGCACATATATAGTTTTCTCAGCAAGGATGTTTAGGATGACAAGAACAGTTGTGAAGAAATACAAAATAAGTCACTTTTCATGAAATGCCACAATCCTAACCAAATTCACATATATGGATTTCTTGAAATCAGAATGAAGTAAATTACCAGCATTAATGCAGTTTCTGAAAGCTCTGTTAAAAATGTACTCTGTCCCGCCATAATATGATCTTTGGCACCCATCCGGACAAAGATTCGATCAACAGGAGATAGTTCGAAATGTTCTGCAGGAACATCAGCTCCTACCTGGGGAGAACCAAGTGTGAAGGCCATTGGATATAAAGAAACAACCTAGAATTAGCCAGAACCAAAACTTTACCTGGGCCAAAATCACAGCCAAGCAAACTTGGCGAAGAAGTGTAGACTTCCCACCCATATTAGGGCCAGTAAGAAGGATAAAACTAGCACGACCAGAGCCCCCAATAGTAATGTCATTGGGGACAAATGCACCCTTGCCTAAAGAATCACTTCTGAGAATAGGATGTCCTAAACTTTTTGCAGAAAAGCATGGCACTTCATTTGAACATGAGGAGCCCAAGATAAGAGGACGACATGTTGGCCCTTCATAAAAATCACTTGCAATCGCTAGACTGATCAGTACATCCAGTTCTGCAATATGCAACCACCAACTGAGATATGTAAAGGAAATCAACCTATATCGCATTCAATTCATTTATTCTTTTAGAATTTCAGTCATTACATGCAGAACTAAAGTTATAGACTAGAAATACAAGTATAAATGTTTGTATCGCATAGAGGGAATAAATTTTAAAAAAAGCTTAAAGCTGAGCAGCGCTATAACAAAAAATCTACTGGATTATATGATAAAGAAATGTGAAACCAAGCTCCAGCCAAGTTTGCCTAGAAGTGGGCAAGCATACCTGCCGTTGTTGAAACTAGCTGCCGCCATTTATTGTGATCCTCACAGAATTGTCCGATTAACCTCTGGAGAATGTTCTTCAAAGACATTTCCTTTTCAGATTCAGCTTGTGAGAGTTCTCCAATTACCTTCTTGATATATGGAGTCCAGTACCGGAAGAAACCCTGTACATGTCAGGCAGGAGATGACAAAGAAACTCAAGTCAAGAATTACTTTTAATTTGATCAACTTTCAGCGTAATCTTGACTTACTAATCATAGCAAAAGATTTCTTTCAAGCAGAGGTTATAAACTAATAAGCAAAAAGTCTGACGGGATGACACAAACTGAAAAATGAACATAAAAATTTAAACACATGACTTCTAAATTTAGAATAATTTTTGACACAACTCTGGCAAGGTACAAAGCGAAACATTTAAGAATAGTAAATGAGCAAGAAGCAAAATACATCTGCAGCCATTCTGGCAAGATTCTTGATAACATTGTTAGACAGTACTATAACAACAGAAATCAATTAACAACTGGATAAAATATCTTATATTTAATATACAGAGGGAGCCATTTATGCATAATGGAAGTAACTTACCTTTTTGGATGAACGTAACTCATAATCCCGAGGGACACTTCCACGCAAGTTTTCTGGCACTTCCAATAGATATATATCTTTTCCAATTGTGACATAGGTGATCTGTAGCAGATGATCATATCAAAGAAAGTTTATAAGACATTTCAAGAAGTAAACTATTGCTTATACCATCGGAACATCCAAGCATTTCCGAACAGAAATCTTACTGATGAATCTCCAAGTAACTTGCGCTGTTCCTTGAGGTGTTTAGTCAAACTAGATTCGATCTCCTTAACTCTTTCACATGCAGAGTCATACTCCAGATCAACTCCTTCATGAGGTATTATACGTCCAGAATTGTTGGCATCAACCCAATCAAAGGCATCCTTGAAATGCTTAAGAATTGAATGGATATTGGGAACACCTTTACCTATGCAAAGTCAGAAATATAAGCTGCCAGATGATATTTGCAAAACCATAGAGGAAAATAATTTTTACAATACCAGCTGTTAACAAATGATGAAGCTGAGTAGACTCCACATTTTCTAAAATGACACCAAGGGAAGAAAATGCTTGAACCATCAATTCACAACAACGTAGAGCTGATATGAATTCCTGGAGTTGCTTCTTTGCTGCATCTTCATATAAAATAACTTTATTTGCATTTCTTCCAATAGCTTCACTGCATTCAAATGTAATAACAATTTAAATACTAATAAGAAAATGCTCAAGATATTCTGTATGCAACATAAATGAAATACATATTAATGAGCATGCATTTCTATCCAAGCTTTACCTGCTAGCAAAGATACGTGCAAGCAACCTCTCCATGTCAGGAAGCCTGGACAATGCCTTTCGAAATTCAAGTGCATAAGATAGATTTTCACCCTAGAAAGCAGAAAAGACAACATAGTAAACAGAGCAGTAAACATCACGAAAAGGGCCACAGATTCAGATTAAGACCTAACACTAACCAGTTTACCTGAATGTTTGAAAATTGAGTAAATAGTTATGCAGACAAATTCAACAACCCCCCCCCAAACCCAATAAAAAGGTAATCACCTTCAATTTGCAAATCATTTTCAGTAAAATATAAATAGCCAGAATACTTATGAGAAACTCACCTTTAGGCCTGCTACAGCATCTTGGCGTTCCTTAATCAAGTCCATATGATATAATGGTCTAGCAAGCCATGTTTTTAGCAACCTTTTCCCAAATGCTGTCACGCAGTGATTCAATTGTGCATAGAGTGTCCTTCACAGACAAATATATTGCCTACACATAAGCTTGGAACTACTACAACATTTAACATTTAAAGTGGACGCAAACTTACCCAGAAGAGTCTCCATTTCTGCTGTTTTCAAAGATCTCAAGGTTCTCCAGGGCAGCAGCATCAAGAAGCATGTAGTGGTTTTGAGCAATACCACTGAAACCAGAGGATGGAAGCGACTCAAACTTTGCAAATCTAAGTAACATCTCATCTAGAAAAGCCTGTTTTAGGTAATAAAGAGTGCCTCCAAGAGCTGAGAGTGCTAGGCTGCCATCCGCACCAGCACTTAGTAGATTGGAAAGGATAGCTGGCAGGCAGCCTGACCCATCTCCCTCACAAGAATTAGCAGCATTCAGACACACATGATGAACAGATCTAGCAGCTGATTGATCATTAATACGCTTGTAGATGGTTTTAACTTCACAAACAGTTTTCTCCGCATCCCAGAATTCTGCAGATGGGACCAACTCATTCACTAAGAGATTTCTTGTATGTCTCAACATCGCCCTCTCAGTTTCAAGACTGAGCAGTTTAGTGGGTTTTATAATTTCTACTGGCCTCAACTCAGCCAATAGACTACACAATCCGCTGCACTCAAAATCATCCCCAAACTGGAAATAGAAAGCCAAAGCAGATCAGCCCTTTAATATAAAATGAAAAACATCACACATGCAGAACATTTTTAAAACCTGTTGGTTAAAGCACTTTCTATTCAGAGGAATAAGTCATCCTACTGGTCAAATCTGAACAAAGGAGGCATAAATAAAACATTATTATGCACGGAACAGTCCTTACCTGTCCAAGAATAATCCTGCTAGTTGCAACATCAATGGCACACACACCAAAAATCCGATCCTCATTCTGGTTTGAACTTTGACAGCATTCAGTCACTGCCAAGAGGTAAGAAGGGTCAGGATTTGCCGAAAGCATCTCTCCCTCAGTTAGTGTTCCTTTTGTAACCACTGCACAAATTTCACGTTTGACAACCTAAAACACATTGAAAAATATCAATGACTCTACAGCTCCAAACCACACCAAATTCCCCTTCCCCAGCAATTCCAAATGAAGTATCCCAAAGACAAAGAACAAATTTAGAAAGTAAAAAACTGAAATATATTACCCAAAAAACATATAATAAATATATGGTAAATCAAACAACTGAAATGAGCCATTATACCATCTAGACAGAAGCCAGATGAAAATCTAACAGTCCTCAACAACATATCTAAGAAAAGTTAAGACATTTAAGTATGCTAATAAGATTATGATAATATGATATTTGACAACTAGACAGACATAGACAATAGATAATCAACACATTAGCAAAAGTTTAGAGAAAAGTGCACTTATTCAATGGCCAATCTGGGAAAAAATGAAGAATATGGGAACACCAATTTAAAAAAAAAAAAATTGATCTTCTGTTATATCATGCGGACCTTATCCTTGGCACCTTTCTCTTTCCGACGAAGCTCCAGCTGTTCAGGAGTTTCAGTTTGCTCTACTACAAGAACTCGATAACCCTGTTCTGTCAATAAACGAGAGTAAAGTTTCCTCCATGGCACAAATTGTGCTTATCAAAAATATGCAATCATAACAAAGCCCATCCTGGAGAACTGCAACCTAGAATAAAAATACATAGGACCAACCTTTCGAGCTAATTTCTCCACATTCATAGAGAAGTTCCTCTCTGGAAATCCACAATGAGGTTGTTCCCCCTAAAAATGAAAGTAGATGTACAAGGAATAGTGAAAAAGAAACATCATGAAAATAAATTTCTTAAAGAGTTGATAACAAAGGTGCTTCTGCTTCATTTCTATATCTTTTCCCCTTGGCCATGAAACAAAATTCCGATGCCAAAAATAACAACACTCCAGTTTCAGTTGAAAGAACACAGATAAGGCCATACCTTCATATATTGCAAATCCAGTTCTTTTGCCCCAATATGAGCATCCATTTCAAAAAGTTCATAAAATTTACCCATCTGCTCCAACAAAGGTAAATGTTAAATGACTTTACAAGACAAATGACATCAATAAATTAGAGTAGACTATGCCATACCTTGAAAAATAGAACTTTGTCCATATGCTTTGACTTAAACTCCCACCATTGCCTCTGCAAGGTAATATAGGTCATTTGATAGAAGCCAAGGAAAAAAAGGGTTTCTCAAAGTACTTGACAATTGAATGCCCTTACCTGGCCACCTGATAGGCTCTTCAAGAAATCAGGAGGCAAGTATAAAGTCTTTGGATTGTAGTTTACATCTTCAGGACGTTTTCGATTTGCATCCCTACGCTCCTTCCTTCAAGTCCAAAAAACATTTCAGCATTTAATACATGCGTCCTCCTTACATTAGAGTTAGCAACCTCCCTCTAAATCTAAAGCAATTAGCAAGCTTTTGTGCACTTTGTAATGGCATAAGCAGATGTTTACTAACTAATTGGCAATCAAATAGGTTAGATGGTTTCAGCATAAGACACCGGATGGCTGAACTAGTAAAACCTAATTAGTTAAGGAAGCCTGTATATATGTTTTCAAATCCTAGAGGCATAGTAATATTTTTGCGGATTCTATGTCAATTAAGGGAAATTATAAGGACAAAACAAGAACTTACAGTGTGAGGAAGTGCAACTTCTCTGCTTCACGCTTACCAAACCTTTCTGATGCATCACCCATCAAAGCATTATCAAAACCATTAGATGCCTTATCACCTGCAGTTAAACATACTCTTCTTCAGCACTTAAAGATTTGGAATCATTTATTAAGGTGGATTCCGCAGGAAAAAGAAAGACAGGAAAATAGTCTGTGATATGTCCAAAAAATTTTGAATAATAGACTAATTAACATAAGCCAAGGTTGAATAAATTTCTATGCAGATAGCAGCCATAAAAATGAACAGATATAGCAGAAAATATTCGCTACAACAAGAATTTGGGAAATAACCCCAACTCCCATCGGCTTTAACTAAAACATACTCGTTCTCATTCATCTCCCAAAGAGAAGAAAATTTTAATTATTTAATCTCTCATTTCAAACACAATCAACTAAAAGAATTGTACACAAGAAACTACGCCACTTACTTTCTATTTTCTTCACCGGTTCCACCAAAGACACCTTAAGCTCTTGCTTACTAACATTTGCATTTGTCTTACTCTTTTTGCCAGACTCCAATTTCCCTCCTCCACTCGCCTTCCGTTTCTTTGCTTCAGTCTTTCCACCGCCTTTTCTTTTCGATATTTTCATTTCCTCCTCTTCCTCCTCATTTTCTTCTTCTTCCTCTTCCTCTTTCTCATCCTCCAAATCCATATCTTCCACCTCGGCATCCTCACTCACTTCCATCTCCACATTCTTGCCCCAATCTTCATCACTAGAATCATCATCATTATCATCACTCTGTGCCTCCACATTCTGTGTCACGCCCTCATCCTCATCATCAATCACCACCTTCTTAAAAGCCGAAGAAGAACCCCCTCGCCGCAACCGCCTAAGCCTTCCCGTGCTTTCTTTAATCCACTCAATCTTCTCCTTCCCCAAATCCAACTCCTCCTCTTCCGCATCATCATACTGAACCAAATGCTTACCCGATTCCTTATCAAAAGACTTCACCACACCTTCGTACCACGCCTTATCCAGCGGCCAGTAAACCCTAATCCTCTTCTCAACAACCTCCATGCCGTAAGATTTGTCGGCCGGCGCCGAGGGAGTCGGGGAGGGCGTTTGGCCAATAACTAGGAGGGGCTTTTTGAGCTTGGATTGAACAGGCGACGGAGTGGTCGGACTGGGGCTTGGGCTTTTACTTGGGCTCCGATTAGGTTTAGAGTTAGGGTTGAGTTTAGAGGTCTGTTTGGAGGGAGTAGGAGAAGGGGAAGGTGAGTTGGTTTTAGAGAAGAAGGAAGTAATCTGCCGCTGTTGATTAACGAGAGGTGATCTACCGTTGCTTTGCCGACGCGACGATGCCATTTTTCCCGATTAATTGATATAAAAGAAAAAATTGAGCTGCTTAAAGCAAAATGACAGGCAATTGGGAAAATAAAGTGTGATTACTTTTTCTTGAAGGTGTAAAGGAATAAAAGGTGAAGCGGCGTCGATGTCCCCTTCATTGGCATGGAAGAATATAGGCGTAAGATAAGGCGGGAATTCCCGGGAAATGTTCTGATCAGGGTTTTTCTTTGGCGGGAACTCGGGTAAATGCAGGGCAATTTGCACTGCACATCCCAATGGGCTATGAACCGTACGCTCATATTCTTATTTTCGCTATTATTATTATTATTATTAAAAAGAGGCGAAAACTTCTGCACAGAGGCCCAAAGACAACCCAAATAAATGGACCGTAGGGCGTCCTGAGGACCTGAGCCAAGCCGAAGAATGACGTTGGCAGATCGAAATAATTCGCACCACAACGACATTACCGTTAGGCGTTAGTACCCTACCACCTTCAAGGCTCACTTGCCAGCTGCAGCTACACCACCGTCCCCGAACTTTAATTCTCCGAATTCCGCTTCCATTTACTTAAAAAATTAAAATAACTCCCCATTTCCCGATTTCCTCCTTTTGAATGGCGGTTAAATGTCTGTTTCTCTAAGGACTTCCATTAAGCCTCGAGCTCGAGAATGCTACTCATTGTCGATCAGAGACCAAGACTACGAGAAAAACGATGACGTCGAGGAGAGGACTGCTTTCCTTGGTCTACCTCTCTTCCCTTGGTTAGTTGGCCTCATTCTTCTCTTTCTTTCTTTTTTTTTTTTGGAAAGGCTTGTAGTTTCATAATTTAGAAGATGGAGTACCAAAAGCAGGTAGACAGCGAAACAAAAACGGCCACAGACCTGAGTATCCAGGCCTCAAAATCTTCCTATTCTAAGTAAATCAGGAGGTAAAGATTTACCAAGCATAGGCAGAAAGCAAAAGGGGCCTAGCTATACAAAATCATATAGAAACAAGAAATCATAAAAATATATGTACACTGTGGATTCATATTACTTAACAAACAAAAAAAAAAACAGTCACTGTGTTATTATTTAGGAGTGAACATTAACGGTGCAAAGTAAAATAATCTATCGTAATTGATTAAATTCATTTAATTCGAATAGAATTTTTTTGATTTTGATATCAATTGTTTAAGAAAAATAATTATTTGATTATTTTAATTAATTTCTATTGAATTTTTATGTTCAAATTTTACAACTGAATCCATAAAAAAAATTGAATAATATATTTTATATATGGGTGTATTAATATTTTTATAACATATCTCAAAAAATATGTTTTGTATATACATATTATAAATATTTTTCAAATATACTTCAAAAATACTCTCATTCAAATTGATATAATCGAATGAATTCATTGAAATACGTCGATTTTTTATTACATTTTGATTGAATTTAATTAATTCAATTTTTAAAATTTTAAATTAAATTGAATCGACCAATATACTCATCCATCAAATTCCATATCTTTTTCCACACTCCTTTTGACTCTATTGTTTTTCGGAAAGATTGCTGATCAATTCTGCATGTTTATAGAAATCTTTTAATCCTAAATATCATCGGGTTCCTCTAGCGTTACCAGTCCATATTGTTGAGAAGCATGGTGCTACATTTTTAGGGAATGCATTCCATATGGACAGCAACACAATATGAGAGAGTTAATGTTGAGCAACAGTTAGAAACCCATTATATAATCATTAAAATAATTAAGTGTAATAAGACTTGTTCTATAGTAGAAGCTAACAAAAAAAAAGTATACATGAAAAGGTTCAAGAAAGGAGGCTGTACGTGAACAAGTACAATAGAATAAGTTGTATGTGAATAGGTATAAGAAAAGAAAGTGTATGTGAATGGGTACACGAGAACAAGGTAGGAGGGTGAAACACTTGTACTTCAAGAAAAAGGTTAAAAAGAATACCTCTTAACTACCTTTATATCTAAACCATAAAGTCAAACTTTTCGGAACATCCTAAGATAAAAATAACCCATAAACCCTATTACTTGTTCCTGGTTATTTTCACTGTCATCCATGTAAAGTGGTTATTTTGTGTGAAGTAATTGTTCCACTTGTATTAGTTGTTCTATATGGAGTAGTGCTCCACTTATTCTAATTGTTCTGTATGAAGTAGCGCTTCACTTGTTTTAATTGTTCTACGTAAAGTAGCACTTTACTTGTTTTAATTGCTCTGTATAAAATAGTATTTCAATTGTAATGGTTATTCTCATTATTTTTTGTATAATATTATATTATAAAATAATTCATTAAAAAAAATATTAACTAAAATCAAGTATCTACAAGTTTTTTTGGTGTTGTATAGATTTGGAATTTGCTTTCTTTGGGGCTATAAGTCATGGCCTAATCACATGGTTCAATGTGCTAAAGCAACCAATTGAAAAAAGAGAGGGAAAACTTCAAATGGTGCATGAGTCATAAAATCAATTTTATGGCCATGTGTTATTTTTCACTCATGGAGATTATTATTTATAAATTTGTTATTTGTAAATGTCATTGTACCTTTTCCCTTATTGAATAGTTAATAATGGAAGTACAATTTTTTGGTAAAGAGATATTCTTACCCTTTCCATGTTGACAACCTCACCTTAAAAAATAAAGTGTTTTGTCATTTCCAAAATAATCAACACATAACTTCAAACACATTAATCTAGTTTTGCATTATTAAGATACAATGACTGTTAACTATTATTGTGTTTGGAGTTACATGTCGATTTTTTTTGGGAATGACAGAACTCTTTCAGTTGTGAAGGTGAGGTTGTGAACATGGAAGGTTGTCTTAATTTGATAAATTTTACTTTTTAATTTATCATGTTAAAATAAATCAAAATTTTGATGGAGAGAAAAAAAATTTGAGAGAAAAAAAAGTAAAGATAAAGAACATCTATATCCATTAGAATTCTCTCTTTTAAAGGCAACAATTGGTTATTACACAATTCAAAGAGAAAATCGTTGGATAAAAACCTGCCGATATAAATCAATAACCCTATAACTACTGCTATGGCAAATACAAAGTATCTTTTTTGACGCAAACCCAATCAATGTATGTGGCATCTTCTAAGTAACCGTATTTTCTGTATAAACTTATAACACAAAATATAGTGCTGCATGGGTTAATGAATCACGTGACCCACTTACACGTGATTGTCTTCCTCTTTGTAATGAAGGATCACTGGGTGTAAACAATAATAAAAAACATCTATGCACATGGATAAAACTCATTTTCTAACACACCTCCTTGAGTTTAGTCTTGCATAAACCCAACTTTGATCTGAAAGTAAGAAATTTATCTTTGCCTAATCCCTTGGTGAAGATATTTGCAACCTGTTCATCTGTGATGCAATATTTCACATTGAGTCTTTTATTCTTTACAACATCTCTTATTGCATGATATTTGACTTTGATATGCTTGGTACAACCATGCTAAACTAGGTTCTTGGCAATAGTTATTACAGCTTGGTTGTCAAGCCAAATTGTTATCCCACAGGCCTGTTTAAAACTCAAGTGTTTTAGAATTTTTCTCAACCAAAGTGTATGGTTGGAAGTCGAGATAACAGCCACATATTCGGCTTTAGCAGAGGATTGAGCCATTATTTCCTGCTTCTTTGGATTCCCTGCAAATATAATACTTCCAAGTAAAAAACAGAAACTTGTGGTGCTTTTGGCATCATCTGGACAACCAGCCTATCATTATCACAAAATCCTATAAGATTTCCACTTTCATGATGGACATACTAGAATCCATATTTTACAATTCCTTTGATGTATCATAGGACTCGTTTTGCTACTATCATATGAATTTCAGAAGGCTTTTGTATATATCTTGACAGGACATTTTTTGCATACATTATGCCAAGTCTAGATATTGTTAAATACAACAGACAACCCACCAAACTTCTATATTGAGACATGTTTGTAACTGGAGCATCATCTTTTTTATATAGTTTATTTTTAGAAGTCATAAAGGTGTCAACTAGTTTATAGGGCTCCATATGAAACCTTTTGAGAAGTTCCTGAGCATATTTGTTTTAGTGAAAACAAATATATTCAGGTTCTTGTATGATTTCAAGACTTAGGAAGTAATGCATTTTTCCTAAATCAATTATATCAAATTCTTGTTTCATCTGGATCTTAAAAATTTTCAACTCCAAACTATTGGGCCTTGTCACCAAAATATCATCAACATAAAGGGAAATTATTAGACTTACTTGGTCATGTGAGCTCTTGACATACAAAGTTGGTTTATTAAAGTGGCATCTCAATCCTTTCTTAAGCAAGTAGCTATCAATTCTTTCATACCAAGCTCTTAAAGCCTGTCTTAAGCCTTACAAGGTTTTAATGAGTTTACAAACTTTGTTCTCATTTCCTTACTCCACCAACCCCTCTGGTTGCTCAAATATAAACTTCTTCCCTAATCAAGTAATTAAGAAAAATAGACTTTACATTCAAGTGCCATATAAACCATTTTTCTCTTGCAACCAAAGCACTTAATAATCGAATCATATCATGGTGAGCTACTAGTGTGATCTGTCCCATACACTTGAGAATAGCCTTTAGCTACAAGTCTAGCCTTGAGCTTATTTATTGAACCATTTATGTTTAGCTTGGCTCAATATACCCACTTGATACTTATGGTTTTCTTTTAACTAATACCCATGTACCATTTTTCTTGATTGCATCCATTTTGGCAAGCATTACTTCTTGCCAAGCTTTGCCTTTTGTTGCATCAAAGTAAGTGGTGGGTTCAACAATGGACACATTGCACTTTTCATAACTTTCTTGCAAGCTTATTGTCCCTTTTACAGCATAATCATCATTGTCTTCTTCATCAGTTTCCTTAGCATTCTCGGCTTCATCATTATTTGTACTTTGAAGACCCTCAACTTGGTTAGTCTTCCAATTTCATCTCATGTCTTCTTCAAACTTTACATCTCTTGACAAAAATACTTTGCTTGTGTGCACATTGTAAAGTCAATAACCTTTAGAAACTTTAATAAAACCCAAATGGACAACAACCTCAGATTTTGGGTCAAGCTTTATGTGCCTTTAATCAAGAATTTTTGCATAGCAAAGACAGCCAAATACTTGTAGATGAGAGACAGAATGTTTGGGTCCATGCCATGCTTCAAATAGGCTTTTCATGATTAATGCTTTTGTTGGAAAAATATTGAGCAATAAAGCCACAACATTTGTGGCTTCTGCCTAAAAGGTTTTGGGCATATTTTTCTCTT